GCTTGTATGACTTATTATTTTTAGAGTTGTGTTGTGATATCTTCCCGTGAGTCCCTAATATTGATCGTACACGTTTGCGTGTATGATTAGTGTACGATTGAATCGGGGGGCGTCACATGTGTTGTCTAGTGTGGATTGTATGGAGTGTTGTGCTGCTGCTATTAGGGCTGTTGTTTTTCTCTTTCTTTGATCGTTGGGTCTTCTAGTCCTAGGACCTTTACAACCTTGTTGTTTTACGTTGCTCCCTGCTATTATCAATGAATGCCAACGATGATGGATCTTTCAAAAAAATCATGTTAAATCGGAAATATATTTTGACCTCCGTAGATATTGATTTCCCGCGAAACCAAAAATAAGCAGAAAACTGGAACTGGCACTAGGCTCTAAATTAATAGGTTAGTCCAAAAAAATGCAATAAAAAATATATAATTGATAACATAATGAAAGAATATAGATATGTGTGAGAAATATCAGGCGTTCCTCGACATCCCACTGAATTGGGCACTATTTAAGCATTATTCTTATGCGAGCCGCACATGGTGATGAAGGATGACAGTGTCATACGCCAGGGGTAGCTCACCAAGGGAAGCCCGGAAGTAGTCTTGCCTAGGGGGCATGACTCATGAGGCACGGGGACCAGTGGAAACCCTAAAGAAGATGTCGTAGACTTTCTTGCTCTCCAAGCCTTGGGCGGCAGCGACCAAGATCACATCTGCTTACCAGTCAACCCTAGCCTCAACCGTGTATATAAGGGGAGGTCAGAGGGCTCTCATGGCCATCTACTCTCATATAGAAACTCTTGGTAGCAATATCATACACCATTATAAACCCCTCGCACGAGATATCCCCCCACCATGAATAACAGAAACAAGCAGGACGTAGTGTGTTACTCTCTGGAGGCCTTAACCTGGGTTAAACGCTCATGTGATCTCCGACCTGTGACTTCCAGCTGCGCTTGGACCCCTACCGAGGGATCTGACGGTTTTCCACGCCATGAAAGGACGTCTTCTAGATATGCAACGCACTCGACATCCTAAAGAAGTGGAGCTTGAGCTAGCTACTTCAAGATGAAGTGGCCCAACTCGCTGAAGGGGTGGGCCTCCACTTACTTCTATTGCGAGGGGCCGTTGAGTGTAGTCGACGATGTTGTCCTGCAGTCGTACTCTCCTGTGCCGATTGCTAGTGAAGTCTTCAAGGCGACACGTGATTGTGATTTGGGACTAATAGAATCATGGCTAGTTGATTTGTAGAAAAAAAAGTCCTTTACTCCCTAACCAGGCTTTTGTTGTTGGCAGTTTGTATGATAAGCCGTAGTTAGAAACCTTATGTTTTAATTCATCTCCTGGAGATCTGGCGTGTAGACTCAGGGCATCTTCAATACTGACCCGCAAATCAGACACCACATCCATTCGCGGACCGGGGGGAGGCAGTCCGTGGACACTGATGTAGTAGCCGGCCATCCAAAGGTAGTCACATACATTTCAAGCCAGATTTCAACTGACTGGACAAATTGAATGCAAACCGAATGATTTGCATATAAACCGGACGAAGTCATTTACATTTCAAACATATTTCAACTAAACTATAGTGGACTACGCTGAAATTAGTTTATGGCCGACAGCGGCGAATCTCCACTCCCATGACATGTCTTCCCTTTGTCCGGCAACTCACTCATCGGACTTCCGTGAGCCCCGAAAGGATATGCTTCGGCAGGAGGGGAAGAGTAGCCTCCCTTTGCCGCCGGAAAGCACGAATCAAAGTTGGTTTTTTGGGCAGGGGAAGATGGTCGCCATGGTCTATGCCCCCACTCATCGGGCAAGTCACCGGTTGTGCCACCCAGCGACGCGGCGGCAGTGGCCTTCCTGGGACCCAAGCGGCGGCGGCGGCCTCCCATGATCGACTTTTCCTCGCTATGCACGGTGGCCACGGACATGCCGGCCTCCGCAAACATGGCTTCTCCCATGATGGCGGTGGCCTTCCTGAGATCCAACTGATGGCCGCCTCCCATGATCTACTTTTCCTCGTTGTCCACGATGGCCACGGAAGTGCCGGCCTTTGTGAACATGCCTTCCCCCCCCCCTTGCCTGACGCGTTACCGCCATTGCTCGCGGCGGATTTGCTGGAAGACGGCGTTGGCTAGCTTGGACAGCCAAAATTTCAATTTGTTGGGAGACAGTGTTTGGCGGCGGATTTGTAATATGTCGATTCTGCTTTCCTTGTTTTATACTCCCTCCGTTCCTAAATATAAATCTTTTTAAAGATTTTAATATGAACTATATACGGAGCAAAATAAGTGGATCTACGCTCTAAAGTATGTCTATATACATTCGTATGTAGTTTGTGCTGAAATCTCTTAAAAGACCTATATTTAGGAACGGAGGGAGTACTTTGTTTAAAAATTAATAAGTATTGTTATGTGCATTACAATGATGCAGGTCATAAGGTTTAACTTTTTCTAAAAGAAAAAGAAAAATCACTTTCCCTTGCCGTCGTTCAGCTCAGTATATGTACCACCGGAGATGGGTAGAAAACAGAGGGGTGTAGTACGTCCCGTCCGTGTGTCACGCACATTAAGTAGCCAGCCCAAGTAGGTGGTGTTGGCGGTTGGAACTTGTGTTGAACCTTTTCCCGCTTGTCCTTGGTGCATGGTTGCGCCCTTTTGTATACCGCAGGACCAGGCCAAGGTCCCCTTGGTGAATTTCTACTTGGTACGGCCAAGGTTTATCTGAGACGCTTCTTTTTATTCAAAAAAAAAAATCACGTCCGTTGCGAAAGTGAGCGTGCCTTGAGCTTCAGAAAAGCTCCTATGTCCTATAGAATGCGCGTGTCGCCGTGTCCGTGTCGACTGCCAGCTTGGATGGAATCAGCGGCAGGACACGCAGCAAGATCTCGATCGGCCTGGACAGCCCGGCCACCGTGACCTAACACACGTTCGGAAACACCAGCACGCACCTCGAGAGGCGCCGCACGCCGCGTCTCGCGCCCAGCACTGCACTGCCGCGCAACAGTCCTAGCTGCTGGGACTGCGGGCGTGTACGAGCGGATGAGATAGCACGCTAACGCTTCCATACCGAACCCTGTCACATTATATCGCGCGATGGATGGATGTGCACCTACGTACAAAGTACAGTACGCGCCAGAAATCACTGTTTAGTTTGGCTACTAACTCACATTATTTTAGCGCAATTGATGGATGTACAAAGTACACACAGTACTATGTGCCGGAAATCACTGTTTGATTAGCACCCGGTTCCGCGGTTAAAAGACCCATTAACACCCAGATCCGCACAGGAGCTCGCTCACCGTCACCGACCTGCCATGATTAATTAGGTGACGGGATGATTAGCCAGCATCAACGGTTGGGCGGACCCCATCCACAAACGGCGCGCGGCGTCAGCACAAACAGTGACCCGGGCTCAGAATTCTCATCATGTCGACGACGATGAACGATTGAGCCCATGGATGCTGTGTGCCGACATAGGTTCTCATCACCAAAACCATGTTTGCGTTCCCAAATCTCTAGTACTGCTCCTATGTTGATTTTGGACACGGATGACAATGACACAAACGGGCGCTTAATAGTGCCTGCGCTTTCACACACGTATCCCTGACGTGGATGACAATGGCATCATGGAGTAGTTGAATTGGAGCATCGCAGACGATCGACCACCCAATGTTTGATTGAACCAAATCTACTCGTGTGTTTCCTTCAAAAAATATAAAATCTATTCGTGTGTTGTCTCATTGTGTGTCCGATGTCCACCGGTTTCCTACACATGGCGTAAGCCACTTGTAGAGCTATCATCAATCTCGGAAGCTCCTAGGCACGGACTTGTTTCAGAAACTCGCAGCCGCAAACCAGCACATAGAAAAACACCATCCCTACTTGCAAACCCGCCTACAAGCACTAGAATACTCCACGGTGGCGGGCTGTCAGTCAGATGAAACACATACTATATGGTTAAAATAACTTGAGCATCCCCGTCACTGAACTCCACGGAGAAGAGACCAACGTCTCCACTGCGTAGCTTGACACCACGCAAGAACAGGACAAGACGGATTAGCGCTAAACAATGGGTAGAGATATGATTAATTAGCCACACCATCCCACACTAGCAGCGCATATAAATAAACACACACGCCGTGACACTGCCGCAAGCAAACATCCAAGACGTCGTCGTCTCACGCTAATCGATCACCGCACTGACGACCCGAACCATCGAGATAAAACAAACCCTTCGAGCCGCAAAAAGATGGCCGACGCAAGAGGCGCCGTCTCGAACCCCCCGGAAGACGAAAATGGCATTGCCACTGATCAACGTCGATGACCTCAAAAAAAAAAAAAGAAAACGTCGATGACCTCAGGGGATCTTCAATGATTATAAAATAGTTGTTGGTAGACTTTATCACATAGAATTTTTGATGATGTGTCATGCAATAAATGAGGAAAGAGAGAAATGTTGTATGTAATAAACCAACACCCATTACACAAGCTTCAATGTAGAATGAAAGAGCACCTTATTTATTATCTCACATCTTATTGGGCATACTAGATACAACCTATTTGAAATGTTGTATGTTAAGATATTGTTTGATGACATGGCATATTTTACCAACAAGCTAACATATAAACTGTAGCAGATGCTCTCACGGGCAACAGTGACGCGCCACCAGTTCATGGAACCGTTAATGGAGCACCGATTCATGCTGGCCATGACAACAACGATTGTTTGTTATAATTAACGAGTGCAGGGCCAAAATTTATCGGATGGATCGTGGAACATTACATTACATTACATCGCGGGACGGGATCGCTGTCGCCATGTACATGTCTGCTAATTCTCGGTGCGCTAAGCTACGTAACTACCAGCTGCTAGCTAGGCTAATGGTACCGCGCGCCAAACCCAGGCCGTGCTTCTCTGGTTTGATTCATACTGCTTGCGGCGACTCTGGGCTTGGCGTCGTGCTCATCGGCTCGTGGCGTGGCGTGGCATGGCAGCTCACATGACGGAGCAGGCGTTGGGGTTCTCGTCGCTGAACATCTGGGGCGCGTGGGCGGGGTACGTCGCGTAGGGCGACGGGTACTGGGGCCCGGCGTTCGGGTAGAAGCCGGGGTTCGGCGGCGGCGGCGCCGCGCCGTAGTAGCCGACGGGCGCCGGGGGGTACGGCATGTAGCCGTACTGTGGGGGCATCTGGTACATGCTCGGGTCCGCCATGGGCATCGGCGCCACGGACGCCGCGGACTTGTCCTTCTTGTCCTCGCCGCCGCCACCGCCGTCCTTCTTCTTTTCGCCGCCATCGCCAGCGCCAGCGCCCTTGTCCTTCTTCTTCTCGCCGTCGTCTTCCTTGTCGCCGTCCTTCTTGCCGGGGGTGACCACCTCCACCGGCCGACTGAGCTTGTCCCTGAGGTAGCCCGGCAGGGCGGCTGTGTCCATGGTGCCAGTCACCTTCACCAGGTCCTTGGCAGCGTCCACCGTCACTTCCTTCACTCCTGCGTAGAAACAAAACAAGAGAAGAAGGTGTCAGTCAGTTTCCAGCAAGATCCAACTAAATGATTCCTTGTACCAGGTCGGAATGAATCTGCGGCCAAAAGGAAGAAACAGAAAACTGACCTTTGATCTTGTTGACGCGGCGCTTGATGCGGTCGATGCAGCCGTCGCAGTGCAGCCTGATCTTGAGCGTCACGGTCTCCTGATGGAATCAAGGAAAAAGGGCAAGATGAATATGAGACCAAATCTTCATTTACAACACCTGCAAGTAACTAACTGCATATCACAGAGTTGAATTCTACAGTAGCCCAGGGACGAACCTCTTTGGGCTCCTTTGGTTTCTTCTCCTCCTCCTTGGGCTTGTCGGCGGCTTCCACCTTTTTCTCTTTTTTCTCAGCACCGGCACCGCCACCGCCCTTCTCCTTGTCTGCTGCCTTGCTCTTCTCTTTCTCCGGCTTATCGCCGGCGCCGGCCTTGTTGTCCTTGTCCTTGTCCCTGTTGTCCTTGTTGGGCGATGCGGCTCCGGCGGAGACGATTTGAACGGGCTTCTTGGTCCTGGCCTCGATGCGCTCCTTGATCTCGGCCGCGTCCGCCGCGCCGGTGACGACCACCTTGTTTGCCGCCGTCTCAGTCTTAACCGACTCCACGCCTGCAGAGAACCAAATTAAGGCAAACGGTCAGAAATTACACTAGTCCTACAGAGAAGGGAACCGTAAGGAGATGAAAGAAAGAAGCAGGCGTACCAGGGGCGTTCTTGATGGCCCGCTTAACCTTGGTGGCGCAGCCGGCGCAATGCAAGTCGACCTTGAGCACGATGGGCTGGGGCGGCGCCGCGGCGTCCTTCTTGTGGTCGCCGCCGTCAGCCTTGCCCGGCTTCTCCTTCTTGTCCTCGCCCATGGCGGTGCGGTGGCTTGGCGGAGCTCCGGGGGAGGGAGGGAGGGAGGTAGTGCGTGGGCGTGGGCGTGGGTTGGAGGAGAGGAGCACGTGGTGCTTGGAATGAAGGGGCAGGAGAGGTGGGGTGGGCGCGGTGTTAAATAGGAAGGAAGGAGAGTACCGTACAACTAGAACAACAACTTGTGTGAGGTGGGTGGGCGGAATGAAGGAGTTTGAGTGGCAATGGCGGCCGGGTGTGGATCGGTGGGAAACGGGTCCGGTCGGGTGTAGACCCGGGTGGAAGGTTGCTGACCCGGCTGAGCCTGGCTGAATGGCCGGTCAATGCGTGGCTCTTCCTCTTGGTCTTCCTGGCTGCTTCGTTGCATGGCCATGGATACTAGGATTTCCACGTGGCCCTTGATGACTAGGAAGGGAGCAAACCGTAGACTAGATTAGGAGGGAGCGTAATTGTGTTTGATTTCTCCGGAGAGAGAGACGCTGATGCATGCTGCTTCCTGCGAGCCTGCCCCTGACCGTATACATACAGTGCTGTTGGAGTTGGACTGATGATGAGGGAGGTGATTGCAACGGTGGAAAAAGTAGGACTCGATTCTCTGGTTGAGTAGGAGCGGTTTGGATGATTCTGCGAGTCAGTGGCAGGGCAGGCACCGTTTCCTACGCCGTGCAAAAACCCAACAAAGTAGGTGCCGTCTTTTACTGCAAACCCGTGGCTGCTTGCGGTGGACAAATACAAATACAAATACTAGTGCTGGGTGCTGAGCAGGTGGCGCCCCGTTGCTTGCTTCACCTCGCATGCAGATGCAGATGCAGATGCAGGCGGAATCGTCGATAAGGAGGAGGCTAGCTACCGGCCTCCACGTGTGGGAACCAAATTTTTCAAATGCTTGCTTGAGGGCTTCTTTGATTCAAAGGAGTTTTATAGAATTTCTGAAGGATTGAAATCTTTAGGATTTTTTTTATATTGGTCCTTTGATTCATAGGATTAGATTTCATAAGAATTTTTTCTATGAAATCTTTTGTACTACATTTCATAGAAAATTTAATATCCACTCCAATCTTTTTTTACAATTTTTTTGTTTTTCTCGTGGCGTCAAACAATCATTGTTAATTCTATAGGATTCAAATAGGCATGCCACTTCAACCCTACACCTTTTCTATTCCTACGTTTTCAAAATCCTACGAATCAAATAGGCCGAGTGTTTTCCAATTCCGAACGCCCGCACTGGACGAATGATGGGCTGCATGGGTCTACCACGTGGCCCGCTTTATTACAGGTGGTGGCTTTCGCGTAATTCCTCCTTCCCGCTCGCTGCTCGCTTTCACCAAACGCTGGGCTGTGTGCTTTATTAGAGGCCTCATGCGTGGTCTGGCCAACCACATCATGTAAACATTATCCCAATCTCTGTGGACTATGACGAATAAAATTAGGCCTTACCCCTCAAGAAAAAGAAAACATGATCTGGGGGCCTCCTACATCTCGCCAATTCGAGCCAGCGTGGGGTCAAACTCGTGACCTGAGGATAGCCAGCGGAGCTAATGTGCGTTCAACACCCCAAAACTTGACAACTATAAAAAAGAGAGACAAGTGTAGTAGCGAACCGACAAACCATACCGGATACTGTGGTGGCCGCACCATGTACTGTGGCGACATGGACTAGGTACTCAAGTAATTGTTTAAAACTCCAAAATCTTTTTAACAAAACTTGAACATTTTTTCAAAAGCACGAAGACATTTTTGAAAACTAAAAAACATCCAAAAGAGAGAAATTCGAAAGCCACAAACATTCTTTGAAAAGCACAAACCAATTTTGGAAAGTTCAACAAAAATTCTAAAGCAGTAAATTCGAAAAAAACACGAACATTCTTTGAAAAGCATGAATAAGTTTTGGAAAATTCAACAAAATTTCCAAAACAGAGAATTTGAAAAACAACGAACATTCTTTGAAAAGCACGAACAAATTTTGGAAAATTCAACAAAATTTCCAAAACAGAAAATTTGAAAAACTATGAATATTCTTTGGAAAGCACGAGCAAATTTTGGAAAATCCAAACAATTTTAGAAACAGTAAATTTAATAAACCACAATTTTTTCCTAAAAGAGTGACCAGATTTTTGAAATTTCAGGAAAAATGAACACAGAAATATTGGAAACTCATGAACATTTTGTTTTAGAAAAACAAGTTTTTTCTAAAAAAATTGAACACTTTCTGTGAACACAAACAAAGTTTGAAACTGCTACAATGGTTTGAATTCCTGGAATTTTTTACCAGGAACATTTTCTGAAATTCCAAAGACATCATTAAACCGTGAACATTTTTTGTATATGTCGACAAATTTTGAAAAACATGAACTTCATCAAAATTACCAAACAAATTTTTTAGACCACAAACATTTTGGGAAATATAAATTTTTTTTGAAATTTCAATTTTTTTATATATAGGAATATTGTTTGAAATTCTGAATATAAAAACATTTTTTGAAATTCCCAAAAATTATTGAAAACACGAACATTTTTTAGTTTGTGAGAAAAAGTGATAATAGGGACAATTTGACATTTTCTAATTTTATTTAAAAATACAAACATTTTTTGAAATTTCCGAAAAAAAATTAAAATACAAGAATTTTTTTAATTTATGAAAAAAATGAAACACATTGTTTTTTATTTTACACATTTTTATTAGCACGTACATTTTTTTGAAAATTTAGAACATTTTTTGAGAACGAAAAAGAAAATTGAAAAAGAAAAGAAATGAGAAGCGAAAAATGTAAAAGAAAAGAATAAACTGAATGCTATATATCGTCTATTCCTGTTTCATAATGCACCTTCAACAACACAATGAACATGTCAATTTCATCAGGCTTACCATGCTATAGACATATTTGATTTATTCCATAAGAGCAAATAGAATTACTTAGTGTAGTAAGAAAGGAGAACATGTTGGAGCATGCGTTTTGTTGCCCCTTCCACATGACAAATTGTGTGATTGAAACCGAGATTCAGAGGAATGTAGATACTAATTAGTCAAACTCTCTTTGAGCCGTTGCGTCAGCATACAACATAGAGCAAGGAGCGAAGTATATTTAGTGTAATGGTTAATGGCTATCATGTATGTTATAGTTCCAAACTGAGTGACCAATTTGAAAGGAATTCGCATGATTCTGCCCTTATACATGTCTATCATGTATCATAGAATTTCTTTTTTTAGTCATAATTAAAGAAAGGCAAAAAAATAATATGAACTTACATCTAGAAATTTATCCAAGGTATGAGTAATCCAAATAGTTTTGAGTGCTTGGTCAATATTTTCACAAGCAATGTGATTTTACACTGACATTTTTTAGCATTCTCAGAAGAATTAGAAAAACAAAACTAAGCAAGGGCTGGTTATTTAGTAACATGTTAACTAGGTAGAGCAAAGTCTAATGGGATTTATCCTGAAGATTAATATAAGAAAAACACCATGACGTTAGACATAAACAAAAGCATAAGATGATTGTTCTTAAAAACTGAACAATAAATGAGAAGGATGGCATAATAGTATAATTTTGTAAATGGCTAGCTTATCATATATAAGCTAATAAAATATAGATGTTTATTTACTTTGAGCTATAAACAGACAATATAAGCAAAATCATTAGTTGCATACATTCAAGTCTTCACTTCGTAGGACGTGTGGGCTAACATGTAGACTGGAATCCTCAACTTTCTCAAATAGCAGCCTAAATGTGCACATAAATGAATATCATCACCTCATACTTAATATTAAAAATAGATAAACATCATATGGCCATGAAAATATATGCTTGAAAAATGGAAGTTGTTCTTGAGAAAAGCCTGCTATTACCAATCAAACATACGAATATAAAGCCTTTGAATAGGTAGAAACATTAATCAAATATAATAACCACAAAATTTGCCAATACCATAAATAGTACTACCATAGTTTGCCCATGGACTTCCACTGGTGCAATATTTGACAATCTTTTTAAGATGATACAACTATTATGTTAGCCAAGCAACCTCTGTTTGCTAATTGTAAACTATCAGTACTGATTCCACAAGGGATAAGCATCAAATTCAACATGTGTGCATGCCTTCTTTTTGAGGAAAACTGCGTATTTAAATGCATATCCTACAAAATCTAAAAATTAGCAGATTCTGAAATTGACCAAAAATTACTTGCACCAAAACACATAGGAAGTAGGGTCACATGTTGCAGCGAGAAAAAAACATATGTGGTTGAATAGGAGGAACAGGTTACCAGAGTTGAAGTCGGGGACGCAGCCGTCGTGATATAGTGGAGGCGGTCGGCAAGGTGGAAGTGGCCGACGCAAGGCGCTGTGTTGGGGAACGCAGTAATTTCAAAAAAATTCCTACGCACACGCAAGATCTATCATGGTGATGCATAGCAATGAGAGGGGAAGAGTGTTGTCCACGTACCCTCGTAGACCGTAAGCGGAAGCGTTATGACAACGCAGTTGATGAAGTCGGACGTCTTCACAATTCAACCAATCCTAGCACCGAAGGTACGGCACCTTCGCGATCTGCACACGTTCAGCTCGGTGACGTCCCGCGAACTCTAGATCTAGCTGAGTGTCGAGGGAGAGCTTCGTCAGCACGACGGCGTGATGACGGTGATGATGAAGCTACCGGAACAGGGCTTCGCCTAAGCACTGCAACGATATGACCGAGGTGGATTATGGTGGAGGGGGGCACCGCACACGGCTAAGACAATTGTCAACTTGTGTGTCTATGGGGTGCCCCCTCCCCCGTATATAAAGGAATGGAGAAGGGGGGAGGGGCGGC